GAGCGGTGTCCTGGCTGGGGCTGGAGCTGGGCGGACCCTCTGGCCCCGCTCTGGCCGCGTGCTCTGGCCGGGGTCCCCAGACGCTGGGCGGCTGCGCCCCAGTTTCCACCCTACCCTCAGTGCGCCCCCGAGAGGCCCCTCCGCCCCCCGGCCGGGCAGCTGGGCGGGCTCAGGGGACCCTGCCCTCTGGACGCGCCTGGGCGCCTCGGGACTGCTGGCCACAGACAGGGTGGGTCGGGCAACACGCGCGGAGACGGCCCCCGGGGGCCCTGGGGTGCCCGTCTGCTCGCGTGGCTGCGCGCTGGGGCTGTCCGGCCGCACCCTGCGGGGTCATCGCGGGCTGGGGCAGCTCTGCCTCTCGGGAAATGGGCGGCGAGGGGCGGGCGGCTGCCCAGTGTAGGCCTGAGGCCACGTTCCGGGCTGCTCCGCCCGGCCACCCGACCCCAGGACGCTCCTGCCCGGGGGACTGGGGCTCCCCCACCCACCAGTGCCACCCCAGGGGTGGGCCCTCTGCTGGCCGAGCCGCACCAAGGCCCGCTGTCCGCTCGCACCCCGCCAGCGGCTGCTGAGGGTGCCCGCCCCAGGGGTCTCCCCAGAACACAGGCTGCTGAGGACCGGACCCCCGAGGACCGGACCCCCGAGGACCGGACCCCCGAGGTCACGGACAGCCCCGGCACCGCTCGGCCCTCTGCGGCCGCAGCCGCTGCCCCCGGCCCCGGCCCCGTGGGCGCTGGGCCGCCTGTGGGCCCCTCTGCCTGGCACACGCGCTCCTGCCCCGTCAAGGCCTAAATTGCCCCCTGGCACTCAGCAGTGCCTGAAGAAACCCCGGTGACTCAGCCGTCTCGCTGGGCCCTGTGCCTGGCGCCATATGAGGTCACGGGGCCCCGCAGAGGCCCCCACCCGGGCTCAGGTCCCGTCGGAAGGGCGGGGCTGGGCCTCCTCTGACCCTGAGTGTGTGGAGGTCTCAGAGGGGGACCCCGGGACGCCCCCACCCTGGGCCCAGACTGCTGCCTGGCCGGGGCCGGGGCCGGGGCCGGCCGTCCGCCCTTGGTCTCCGCATGCCGCCCAGTCCCTGCTCAGGACGC